AAAACCAGAGGAATCAGAATGATAAAGGTAAGGGAGTTTTGGAAATTACCTCATCGACTGCATTGTCAAGCAACTCTGCCATGGCTGCAAACAATTTATCAGAAAGAGCGCAAAGGGAACACAATGCAGAAAGAAGAAAAGGGGAACCAATGGGACAAAACTTGAGCGTACCTCCAAAAGCCCACTTATGCGAAGTGGCATTTGAGTGAAGGAACATAGGGTGTATGCGCATATGGTTTTTTCCATCTGTAAACCAAAAGATGACATAGAATGGTCTAATGAAAATTAGAAAAGCAGGAACTCATGACATGAACTTTCACGTAGACATGCAAACAACTCTATCTTTCAGACACGGGTTCTGCACTTTTTCTATTGTAATCAGTTTCTAGCCCATTTCACACAGGGCGGCATGTTTTCGACAGGTAAACATCAACCATTCAAGAGGAGGCAATACTGAAATTTGATACACCAATGAATTTACCACTTTCCAGATCTTCATAGTCCAGTCAAGCAGCTTTAAAACCCCAATTGTGGTTAATTGATACAACGCCAAAAGGAATTTGGACTTCTTAAACAAGTAGGCATGTCCATTCAAGCAAGGGTCGCAATCGGAATAAGGTAGTGTGACGCAGGACGTTTAAATCACAGTAAGGAATCAAAACACATAGCGTAATCGATACATTACAAGCAGTGAAAACACTTACATTGGTTTGCGGCTTTGCACCTCTGTCCCTGCTCTATTTCGTAGTATCCGGCTTTCCAAAATTGCCGAGAAATTGGTGTTGGACATACTGAGGGTGCAGATGCAGAATCAAAACCAGGTTCAATCTCCATTCTACATTTTTTAATATTTGACCGACCCATTTCATCATCACTGCATAAATCTATGATGTTTGAATTGCTCATTGTCATCTGCAAACCAAAATATAATAGAGGTGAAATCAAGGACTCAATAGAGAAGGTCAGCAATTACAATAAAAGAAAACTACTAAAAAATGACAACCACCAAAATAGTTGTAACTAGGACTGTACAGTCAAACCAAAAGGGCACAAACAAATGGTGCAAAGAAGGAGCACGGCAGTGAGAGCAGAGGATGAGAGCAGCCACGAAAATGCTAGTGCCAACGTGATGCTACATGCAATAGAAGGTGGTGAAATGTGTATGTTTGTCAGAGAGTAGACGATGCGGAAAGAGGGCTGGTCTGCAAAATAGATTGAGGGGGTGTCTTAGGCGCCTATTTTTAACAATCCCAAAACCCAGATAAGCAAGCAAGATAAATTCTGTAAGCTCCATTGCTAAAGCCAAAACCCATAAATCAGAAGCACACAGAGGTAATGAGGTAGACTCAAAGAGAATCACAACCCAGCTCTAGATAGAAAAGAAGAAGCATGCATGAAGATGAAGATGAAAGGGAGTTACTAAAATGCAATAGATTAAAACCAACACAAAAAACAAAACAAAACAAAACAAAAAGGAAAGAGCAGAAAACAACCCAGGGAAAAAAAATTCCCCAACAAAGAAACACTAAAATATAGCTCACAGATCCAACAGGGCAGTAACCGAACCTGAAAAGAGCGAATACATCAAGCTTCCATAGAAAACCCAGCACTTGAACAGACCAAGGCAGCTAAACCAAGGAGATGAAGTGAAGGCCCCAATAGCTCAAAAGGAAGGTTCCATTTCAGAGATGAAATGAGGGATTGAGTGGGAGAAGGGTTGAAATGGAGGGATGAGAGGTCATTTATTTTATGGTGTCACTGTCAGTGATGATCAAGGAACTGCAGCTGCAGAGCAAGAGCATAGAAAGTGGAGTTTGTTTCAATACCCAAATGCTCCGAGGAGAAACGCTTGCATGAAACGGTGTGGTATACCGGCCAAGCACTATTTTGTTTTAATTAATTCATATAGCGACTACATTCAAAAGTTGCTGGTCTTGCTTTCCTTGTGATGTAAGTATAAGGATTAAATAATCAAAACTACAACACCACCACCACCAAAGATTTAACAAGTTTTTATTTGTTGGCAAATGACGCTAACAACTTCTATTTGGGTTTTGTATTAAGGAAAAAGTACACTTATGAAAATACTATTAAACACATACGAGTATTCCTTCTTCACTCTTTACCTTCTTCATTCAATTTATGCCACTTGTATTCTACTCAAACGTAAATTTATGTTCAAACACTTTTTATTAACTTTTATTAAATATTAGTACTTTATATTCAATACACAGATTTATGTATGACTAGAATATATGTAGCATCAACTCTTCAATTCTTGAAAAAATAATATTAAACACGCCAACTTTTTCAAAAAATTTATCTCAAATGTGTATTAAATTATTGAATCATACAAACTTCGTTATACGTTAGAGACTTGAGATTATCTCAATTCTCTCACATGAAATTATTAAACCATGTGGTGCCTATGGAATTATTAAACCATGTAGGGCCCACTCTATGTGAGAGAGTTGAAAGAAAAGTTTGTTTGCATCATTACTAAATAAAGTAAAAAGAGTTAAAAGATAAGACTCTCAATGTTTTTAACTAATAATGGCTCAATGCAAATGACCCACTAGTGAAGTAGTTTGGAGCAATTGCTCCACTAGGAAAAGTCACAAGTTTGAGTTATAGTATACATGTAGTGTGTGTGAGTTTAGTATGTTGTAGCCCATCTCAATAGCAAAAGTCCTAACAATAAAATAAAAAATAAAAACAAAAACAAAATGGCTCAATGCAATAGAAAAAGGAGTTCTTACATTCGCCACCTCTTGTATTATTTATATAAAAAATTCACCACCTCTTGCAGTTTGCCAACTGCACCAAACCTTGTGGTTTAGCTTTTTCATCTTATAAACCATAAGTTTAATTTATTTTTCTTGTATGAACTAATGTGAGGTTGATTAATTAAACTATTTTTTCCAACAAAACAAATTAAATAGTTTTCAAGAAATCTATTAATCTAGAACGTGAAAAACCTTTCTTCTTGTATGTCCCAAAACACTAAGCATTGTTGCAATTTCCACGAACCACAGAGCCAATATGTAGTCCAATCAAACAGTCCAAATGAAAAGATGCTAATGAGATCATCCTAACATGGTCCATTAAAATCAGCCAAACAAATTTCAAATGAACAATTGCCAGCTGGACCTGCAGGCATACAAATGTAGAAATGCCTAGCTGGCTAGCAGACTAGCCGACTAGCCAAGTACTTTGTTTTACTGTGGCAATTAATTTCCACAGCCCATAATGCATTCCAAATGATAAAAAATAGGGCAACAAAAATTTCAAATGAAAAAGAATAATGGAGTTATGTGATTGTGTCACGTGGATGCCCTTGCATAAGCCAATCAATGTAGTTGATAATAATGGAGTTATGTGATGGTGACATGGGCAGAGTTATGTGATTGTGACATGCGGATGCCCATGTCTAAGCCGATTCAATTGGAGAGGCGACCAACACCCCAACTCATACACTAAGGGGCGTTTGGTTCATGGGAAAGGAGGCATGGGAATGAGAATTCAATTGCTTTCCCATCTTTGGTAAGTTCGGGAATGGGAAATGGATTCCTGGCACATGGGAATCTAAGGGGGAAAGTGATGCCCCCCACTTAACTTGGGTTTTGTTTTCCCTCCTCATGGGAAAGTTTGGGAAAATGAGCCAACATTCAATGCACAATTTTCATGACTATTTTGTCCCTATGAACAATTTATAATTACAACGTATCATTAAATGCATTCTTTTTTTTATTTGATTTAATATGGATATAATTGAAAAATTATACAAACTTTGTTTTTCATTCCTACTCAAAACAAACATGGGAAAGGAAACAAAGTGAAATCTCCCGATTACTTTCCCAACATTACCAAACGTGGGAAATGAATCTTTCATTCCCATTCCTTGGGAAATGACATGGGAATTGATTTCCCTTCAAATCCATTCCGTGAACCAAACGGGGCCTAAGAGCATCTCCAACATACCCTATCCTCTCATTCCTAGCTACTTTAGCTAAAAGAAGGAAAATCCTCCTCCAGCAGAATCCCTACTTGGCTCTTTATTTTGGAGAACCAACTTTTGGCTCTTTACATCTAACAAGGAAGAGAGAGAATTTGGCTAGGATGATAGAGAAAAAGGGAAAGAGAGAATTTATTTAAATATATTGGATTTGCAAGAGAAAGAGAAAATAATAATAAAATATTTCAAATTAGCCAAAATAGAGAACATTGTTGGTGGAAACACTTTTAAGTGGTTTGCTATAATAGCTTTTTAGCAATTTTAGCTAGAATTTGGCTAAAATTTGGAAACTTTCCTTTTGCTATAACCCTTTTGGTTCCACTAAAGAATTTTGATGATAAATCATTTTCCATATTTTTTTTGTCATTCCCTTGGGAGAGCATTAAATGTAAAGTAACCATGAAATACTACTTTAATTTTTAGTAGGAATGTAAAATAAACTTTATTTAATTTTTCAATTATACTCTTGTTGGAAATATAAACTAAATAATGCATTTAATGCTATATTATAATTCTAATTCTAAATTGTTAAAGAGATAAGATGGTCATGAAAAAAGTGCAATTAATGCAAGCCTTAATTTTCTAATATCCCCACCACTATGAAACAAATGTGCCCAAACATTGGAAAAATTATAGAATAGTATGGTATCACCACATCAGTTGATAGTACTTCCATTGATATTCGACCTCCAAAAATGACATATGACATCACCACCGTTACCATTAGCCTACCCCACCCCATCGCTACTTATATCACCACCTTACCCAACCCGTCCAAACTTCTTCAAACATTAGTAAAAGAAATACAACTATTCTAAGAACTAATTGGTGTACAAATCCACTTGTTAAATTACAATGTTTGGAGTTTGGAATTAACTTTCAAGCAAAAGTTTATTGTATGAACTTTTCAGGGTGAGATTGGAGTGGTTATGACTATGAGGATATTTACTCTCTTACATGTAAAGAATAAAGGAACTTGGATCAACCTGAAATATGAGGGACTGAGGCGATTCTGCTTCCGTTGTGGCAGACTTGGCCATGCAAATCTCCTGGGTAAACCTTGTGTTCGTACTCTGGGCACAGTTGTTGCTCACGAAGGGATGAAGTATGATGCGGAGCTGGCGGTGAGAGCCACTCGGGGGCCCTCTCCACTTTTCCCTGTAAGTCACCTTCGCAGCCCACCTTTTTCTCAGTTGGTAGAGAAGGAATTACCGGGGAAGCGGAGGACTGCGGAAGATGTTTGTCACCGTCCGAACCTGGTTCCATGGCAGTCAGCCGTTTCTCTCCGACCTGTTGGGATTGCACGCGCGAACAGACTCGACAATGCTGACCACTTGAATTTGGATGGGGGACAGCACGCTGGCACGGTTCCCAATGGAGTGATGGGTTTACATCCTGTCGTAAATGAACCTTTTTCAAATTCAATGGCCACTATTACGCATGCCTTTTCCCCTAGTGCTCCAGCTATAGGACGTGTAGAGGAAACTCTAGGCGTGCCAATTGAAACAAATTCTGAAGCCCTCAATACCAACCCTTTATTGGGCCCTGCAAATTCCTTGGCTTGTGTCAGAAAAGACCCTACCCATGATGGTGAGTCAGAGATTCTTCATGCGGCTGTGAAAGCTGTCGCACTCCACAAGCCAACATCCTTGATTACTGAATCTGATCCCACAAGTGAGAAGGAGCAGCCTCCACAACAGAAACGTAGTAAGAAGAAATTTAGTCTTGAAGGTGGCAACCCCTCGTCAAAAAGGAAAAAATTTCTTCCGTCACTTAGCTCAGGCTGCTCTCTAAAACTCACTAGAGGAACCGTGGGGGTTAGAGCTGGTGCTAAAGGGGGGCGTAAACGGGCACAAGGCTCCACTGGTGTGGCAAAGTCTGCAATCAATGACTCATCGTTGTGTGAGGTAGTGGTGAGTCCTTCCAAAGAGTTGGAGATCCTAGAACTGAGGGCTAAGAATGGTCATACTGACGGCGGTGGTGGCTGGCCTTTGACAGCCACAAGAAGTCCATGAATCTACCATTTTGGAATTGTCATGGTCGGGGCATTTTCCTGACAATTCCTCTTAGAGTGATGCTTTTATGCTCTTTAAGCCCCTCTACACTGTGCCTCTATCTTCTTGGAGGTGTCGGCAGCTTTGTTTTTGTACGTTTGTCATTGTTTCCTATTTTGCTTGTCCCCCTCCGATTCCTTGCGGCTTTGTCTCGATGTTGGACCTTCTCCACCGTGTTACGATCTGGAGCGTCTCTCCTCAGTAATACCATTGCTGTTGAGGATGCTTTTAAAGTGCATTCGGCACTTACCTCTCGGATTATGGTAGCGCTCTTTGTAGCTGTGATGGCGTATCCATCACCATCTTCCTCTCGGTTCTTTGGCTTCTGTGACTTCTCCGGTGGCTTTGGTCTTGCGTTGGGTGCCTTGCAATGGGTTATTGGTGGTGCGGCATTTCTCAGTCTCTTGTATTACGGTTTTTCTTTTGTTTCTTGGTTTTTGTTGTTTTTTTTAATTTGACTGGGCAGGAAGCTTGGTTCTAGCCTTATTCTGAGGTCTAGCTGCTTCTACCTGGTTCGTGTATTTCTGGCTCAGTTTGCAATCTATCCCGTTTTGGTTTCTTTGAAACCAAACATTGACCAAAAAAAATGGAATCTACCCCAAAAACATGTGGTCAATAATTCATCTATGCACATGCTTCTGGTTGTTGAAAATGGATTGTTCTCTACTCTTTGTGGTAGAACAAGTACTTTAGGAACCACTGGCAATTCAAATTCTGTGCCGTCGAGGAGCCAGCGCTTGTGTACAATAACATGATCAATATGAGGAAGATGTTGAAGCAACCGTGGCCTCTTTCAGTGTCTGTTACCTTCTTTTGCAGCTTATGCTTCTGGTTTCAGGTGTCCATGACACAAAATCATACGACCGATCCATCTGAAGGTAAACTAGCCATGCTTTCCAAAGTTGTACATACATATTTCTAAGCATCTTTTAAATACAGAGTATATATATGTTGTTTTTTTCTTCCTTTTTGCAATTTCTGGACAGTCTAGTAACATAAGTACGTTATGTGATGTGTACACAACGATTGAATTGAGAGTGCAGTGAGGGCGTTGAACTCAATATTCGAGCAATGGGACACGCAAGCCGTGCCGGGGCTGTGGAATATCAGTGGAGAGCCATGCAGTGGATCTGCCATTAATGGAACCGACTTTGAGGATCCAGCTAATAATCCAGCCATCATTTGTGATTGTACTTATGAAAAAAATACTACCTGCCACATCACCCAACTGTATGTTACCCTCTCTCTCTCTCCATACTCTTAGTCTTGTGTTGTTGACTGTAGCAACTCCATTAATTATGTGTTAGAAAACTAAGCAGATCATGCCTGATTCAATTTAATGGCCTGCATTGTTGATATTGAGCGCGCACAAAGGCATAGATTTTTAAGATATCGAACTCATGCTGGTTTCAATTTCGCGGCCTTATTTATTTGTACTTATATACATAATTAGTTAACCCTTCCAAATAGCCCAGAAAATGACTGCCATCAAAAGGCCTAAGCACATATAGCCTCGGCCTGTCCAAATGATGTTCAGCGGTCTCTACCCAAGTAGCTTTCCGGGCGGCAGTTCAATGTTAGTATTCTCGAATAACGGTGCTAGCTGGCTAGTTTTTTCAGAAAAGACTTGCTGCCCCCCTTCCGAATCCCGCGAGTGACTAAGCGCGAGACGAGCCATAACATAAGGGGCGAATCTACTCTTCGTAGAATCGACCATAGATATCTTGTTTTTTCAGTATATTTGCAGAAGAGTAACAGTCCAGTTCCCCGGGCTTTCTCCCTTCTCGACCAGACGAAGGAGATATGCATTCAATTCAGGCGGGTAAGGGCTTGGCTTGACCCTGTGTTCTCCCCTGGTCGGGTCGGAGGCGAAGACTGGCAAAGTTCATCATTCAATGGTGGGGTGCTCATAGAAAAGAAGGCGTCTCCCAACAAGAAGATTTCCTTCCCTTCCTGCTGAACTCTCTCTTAGTTCCCCACCAGCTAATGCTAAAAGGCAGTCCGAATCTATAAGAGGGCCACCCTGTGGGTGGGCCTTCATGAGTTTTAGCGACGGAATAGCAGTGCTTCAATCGAGAAGAGAGGCCGTGGTCGAGAAGCCTGGAGTCGTAAATTTGCAGTTTCATGAAATTTAAATATCAAGTTCGATCAAATCAAGAACTTAAGAGTTCTAAAATTCCTCGTTGCAGACTTTGAGAACTGATTCTGTCGGTGATTTTGATTTACCTCGATTCCGAATATTTGAATAGGAATATGAAGAGATTTAACATGTTTATGTGCTGTTTGATAATTGATCTCTGTAACTTGTTGGATTTATGATCTTACAAGCAACTTCCTGCAAATTTGAGACTTATAATTTGTTTGTCAATATCCTTTTGATTTGATTCCTTTAAGCGACGTGTATCATTTGCTCTGTTTTTCTTTTCCTCCTGTGAATTTTAGCATGAAATTCCACTGGATCTGGATATGCGAGGGAATGAAATTTATCAATAATCTATCATACTTCTGATAAGCAAATAGATATAAGTCTTACAAATGCAATCAATTATGTGGATCTTAATCTGATGATAATTTTTTTTTTGCTTCTCTCAGTCTTTCAGGAAACGAGTTCAACATGGATTCATATACACTTAAGTCTTTGGAAGATTTGCCTGCTCCTTTTCGTTCATCTTTTAATTTTAGGTAATATCCTTGTCAACTCAAATTCTATTAAAAGGGGTTTTGTTGGATGGCTGTTCTGAAAGCTTGAGTACTGGAACCAGTTTGTTTCTGTTTTTTTTTCGTTTTGCTCTTTTCAAATACAAATGAGCATATTTCTGTAGCTTGTATTACATGTCCGTAAGATGAAGGCACAACCACTAGTTCAACCATTCTGACAAAATTCCTTTTACTTGCTTGCAAATGCTGCATATTTCTAACATTGGAGATGCATAATGACTTCGAGATAATAATTGGTTCATCTGGATGGTGTGATGTTCTCTGTACTATCCACATGGTGCATTAAGATGTGCTTAATATGTAATCCTTTCCTGTATATGCAGGTACTTCAATTCTCTGCAGAGTGAATGCTTTCCTGTTTGTTTCCACTCAGATGCAAACATGGTTGTGTCAGCGCCAACTGGAAGTGGTAAAACAGTCATCTTTGAGCTTTGCATTTTGAGGCTCCTTTCACGATTCCTCTCTGAGGATGGGAGGCTCATTCATACAAATGGAACTCTCAAAACAGTAAGTTTTGTATGTCTTCAACCAAAAGGGTAGTCAGCATTTAGGCAGTGCTACAATATATGCGTGGGAGCCTTAATTTCTTGATTTGTGCTTTTAAAAGAACCACAAATGCTTTCAAAGATCTTCTTTTATATTTGCTTCAATGATTAATTTTGTCTTCTCAGTTTTTCTCCATATGATATGTTCTCATTCTGATTTAGGCTCTGGCTACAGCTCAGTTTTCATTTTTCCTTTTTTGTTATAGGAAATTCCACTCTCTTGCATTGTTGCACATGGTGCACTATTTTAGGCTAGAAGTTGATGTAGTCTTTTTTTTTTTGTTGGATTAAAGTTTGTGCCTTCCCTCACTATCCCACAATTAATTTTTTGTTCTGTGTGGAATGAAGATCTATATAGCCCCGTCAAAAGCTTTAGTCCAGGAGAAGGTTCGCGATTGGAATCAGAAGTTCGGGTCTTGGGGGATAAATTGCTTGGAGCTCACTGGAGATAACGAATTTTACAACACCAGGAATATACAGGAAGCAGATATTATTTTAACCACTCCTGAGGTGAGTATGAAGATGTTTGCTACACAAATATACAAACTAAAAACTTAAAGTACCTATGTACTTCCAATCACGGTAACGGAAAAAGATTCAAGTGCGTTCTCAAAACAAATTTGTAACTTATACTAAATAAATTCAACGAAGCTGCCCTATGTTGGGTCAACAACGCAATCCCTTCAGGTTCCTGGCCTTTTCTAGCCCGTGTCAACCTGCATTCTCTCCTGGTCTCTCCTTTATAATCACCTCAATTTAATTCCAATTCCTCCTTGGCTTCTATCGACTTTCATATGCACATACATTTATGCTTCAACATATTTCATCATATATAATCTCTATAAAAAAACGCTTCATTCTCAGTTCTACCAATCTTTTAAAACTATACAATAAAAGCGTCACTAATTCTTTTCCTAAATAGAAATTTGATGCAGTAACCCGGTATCGTGCAAAGGATGGTGGACTGAGCTTTTTCAGCGATATAGCACTTCTACTTATTGATGAAGTTCATCTTTTGAATGATCCTCGTGGAGCGGTTTTGGAGGCAATAGTTAGTAGAATAAAAATGCTTGCTCACAACCCTGAACTGAAATCAAGCTCTCTGGCTCATGTTCGTTTTCTAGCTGTCTCTGCTACCATTCCAAATATTGAGGACCTTGGTAAGATTTGTATTCAATGGTAATTTTGATAGTTAAAAGAAAGAGCATGACTGGAGTTTATTGCATTTACCATTTCTAAAAGATTACAAGTGATAAATGATTGAACAATTATAAATTGTGTGTAAACCACTGCAGCGGAATGGCTCAAGGTTCCTGTCCGAGGAGTTAAAAGGTATCTTGACCTTTTATGCTATTGCATTAGGTTATCCTTTTTATCTTCATTAATATGAGCATCCAGTTATTTTTTACTATTTCTGCTGTCCCTACAGGTTTGGAGAAGAAATGAGGCCTGTAAAGTTGACTACAAAAGTTTTTGGTATGCATATATGTCATGATTCTCCATTCACAATTTATGTTTCTTATCAAGTGCTCTACTTTCCTAATCCTTTTGATCGGAACTCGCTGTACATACTCTGTTCTTTTTGTTAAGTATTTTTTAAGAGGAAAAACTTCCTGATATATCCTTTATTGGAGGAAGACAAATGCTTGTTAGTTATCACTTCGTGTTGACAACAAAAGTTTTTGGTATACCTTTATGAATTTGCAGAAGCATGGTCTTTCTTTAATCATATTTGGTTCCCATTTATTATTTCATATTCAAAACTACCTCTTTTGCAGGCTACACTCCAGCAAAAAATGATTTTCTATTTGAAAAGGTAATTGTTTAGACTACGTTCTTGATAATATTAAAACATATGCTCCTATTTTCCAAGAAATGCATTTACTAGGAAAATAGGTACTTGAAAAATAGACCCAATATTCACTCTTCTGATGGTTTATATTGTTCCCTTTTCCAGCGCCTTCAAAACTACATTTTCGGTAAAGATGACATTTCGATAGATGCCCCTCCTTTATATCTGTATCTGTTTTTCTTGTGAAACTTCAACGCTAAAAAATCATGAATAACTTATATACTTACAACTGATTCACAGATATCCTCATGCAATATTCGAGAGGGAAATCTGCTCTGGTTTTCTGTTCTACTAGAAAAGGTGCACAAGAAGCAGCACATAGACTCTCTCAGACAGTCATGGCCTTTGGCCGTTCAAATCCATTCATTAAAAACAGAGAACAGCAAGAGAGGCTAAGGGAAGCTTCATTATCATGCAGTGACAAACAAATGCAATCTTATATTCCTTATGGTGGTATAAGAGCTACTTGTTTGCTGTTCAGCTCACAGTAAACTTTAATTTATTGCAAGTCCCACACTGAGTTGTTAACAAATAAATTGTTTGTTTGCAGTTGGTTATCACAATGGTGGCCTTTCCATGAAGGATCGTAATCTCATCGAAAGTCTTTTTCTTAAGGGTGATATTCAAATTTTGTGCACAACGAATACTCTTGCTCATGGAATCAACCTACCGGCACATACAGTAGTCATAAAATCAACACAACACTTGTATGTTTGAACTTCCATTTCTTGAAATCATTATAATGAAACTTGAGAGGACATCTTCTGTGTTTATTAATTAACATGTGCATTTTGCCCAGCAACAAAGAAAAAGGTCTCTACATGGAATATGACAGATCTACAATACAACAGGTTTGTAAATTCGGATACTTTTTAAGAAGGAATGTTTCCAATTATGTATGATTGGGATATGATATATTATGTCATTTAAATAATCAAGGTTCTATTTGAAAGAAATGACGCCAGAAGAAAGTAAAAAGAAAACCTTGTCCTATTAACTGTAATTTGAGTTTCACATTAGGTTAGTTGTATCACCCTGCAGATGTGTGGGAGGGCAGGTCGGCCACCATTTGATGATACAGGAATGGTTATAATCATGACAAGAAGAGATACGGTAGTTTAATGTCTTTCTTCCTTCATTTTCACTGCTGAGTGCATTTTTCATTAGTCTCTTCATTGTTTTAGAAATTGAACAAGTCCTGTTTGGTCTCAGAAGTTCTTTTCCTTTAGGAATACGTAATTGTCTTCTTACTTGATCTCAGGTTCACTTATATGAGAATCTCTTGAATGGATGTGAGATGGTGGAATCGCAGTATGTGTTATAATTTTATCACAGAATGAATTTGGTTCCCTGGGCTTTTTGAGGGTATATTGAAGAAGTTATTGCATGTCTTCTGATGAAGTTGTTTTGTCCCCTTCATTAGATTGCTTTCATGTTTGACGGAGCATTTAACCGCAGAGATAGTTCAACTGACTGTCTCTAATATTCCAAGCGCAATTGAATGGATGAAGTGCTCTTTCTTGTATGTGAGAATGAAGAAGGCACGTAATAATCACGGCACCCATTTAAATGGATATCTTTCATATATTTCTTTCCCATTTTACTAACTTCAGATTTTTTAATGCATAATCAGAACCCTGGGCACTATGCAGTTAGAAAAGTGATTTCTAAGGACCACATAGAAAAACATATGCAAGGTACTGAAACTTTTTACTTGTAGAATTATCAAGGGATTTCCTCGCCCTTGTATCTCTATCTCTCATTTGATTATCAATGTTGTTTTCTATCAGACGTCTGTGTAAAGAAAGTTAATGAGTTGTCCCACCATCAGATGATCTGGACGGATAAAGATGGTTTTCTCTTGAAACCGCTAGGTATCAATACCACCCATAACACAGTACCTTTCAGAATTCACGCTTGACCAAAATATTACTAATTTCTAATGTTCTTTTTTTTTTTCTTTCCCTTTTTCGTCCGTTAGAACCTGGGAGGCTGATGACGAAATACTACCTGAAATTTGACACAATGAAACACATTATGCAGACACCCGTAAACTGCAGTTTGGAAGATGCTCTTCATGTTATATGCCGTTCTGAGGAAATTGCATGTAATGTATATTTAAGTACTTCCTGCCATTTCACTGTTGTTTAGAAAAGTCAAATGAAGGAATTATGTATCTATCTACTGGTGTATGTAGGGATACAGCTCAGACGTAATGAGAAGAAGCTTCTAAATGACATAAACGCTGATAAAGATGGTCAACTTCGCTTTCATATCCTTGATGACAAAGGGAAGCGAAAAAAGCGTATTCAAACCAGAGAAGAAAAGATATTTGTTCTGGCTAATGACTGCTTGACTGGTGATCCTTCGGTTCATGATTTATCCCTTACCCAGGTTTTGTTGCTCATAACCTTTAATGTGTTCCTTCATAATCTTGATCCCTGTTGCATTTGATTATATTCAGAGCTAGATTGTTGAAATCAAATTGGTTTCTGTGTCATAGGATATGAACTCCATATGCTCAAATGGCTGTAGAATTGCCAGGTGCATGAAAGAATTTTTTATTTACCAAAAGAATTACAAAGGAGCCCTGAACTCAATGCTTCTGGCAAAGTCATTATATCAAAAACTCTGGGATGACAGTCCATACCTGCTGAAACAATTACCTGGGATTGGAATGGTGACTGCAAAGGTATCCCACTTCATTATATGTTCGGGAATTAAACTCGCTTTTTATATCCTTGGGTCACTTAAATATTGACCCTTTGCAATTCTTCTTCCTTCAGGCACTACATTCAATGGGAGTAAAGTCATTTGGGACACTGGCTGAGGCTGATCCCAGGAGAATAGAGATAGTCACTGGTCGAAAGTACCCTTTTGGAAACCATTTAAAAGACTCTCTACACTTGCTACCTCCAAAAGTTGAGATGAAGGTTGAGGACACTGAATGCCAGAGGCAAGGGAAATTGAAGCTTGTGGTAACATTGACTCGGCTATCACAGACATTCCAACCAACCAAACGACACTATGCTGATATGGTATATTCTAGCAGGGCTCTGCATAATTTTGTCAAATGTTTGATGCAATATTACTTTTAGTGTAGTTATGCAAATCTAATTCTAAGATTTTATTTGCTACAGATTGTTGGTTCGGAAGAAGATAACCTGATTCTCTTTCATGAGAAAATAAGGTGACCCTAACTTAGTCGCTTACTTTTAATCTTTGGTTTTTTTCACAAGATGAAAGGAGAATAGCAAGGGGTTCCTGCCAACTTGTTTACTAGACCTAATATGTAGCTTTTTTCTTTTGGCCGGAGGTGGTTCGATAACCTTCCTGTTTCTATTCTATGCTTTCTGGCTGCAGAGTGGAAGAATTCTCCAGGTGTGCAGCCTTAACGCGTTAGTTCTCTCTTTGAAAACATGGAAGCATGTTAGGCGTATGATAACACTGATTATTAAAATTTAACTTAGTAACCTTTACAGTATGATTAAGTCACTAGAAGAAGCTCAGGTTTCTGGTTGACAACACAAGATTTTCCCCTTTTTTGTTCTGGGAGAGCTTTTGAGAGTGCATGATTATTACCTTGTTTAGTCTGAGGTTGGTTTGTTTCGTGCAGCCCCTATAGCGCAACAATTCTCCTGTCAAATCCCCAACAAGGAAAGCTGACTGTAAAGGCAAATCTTATTTTTGAAGAATACAGTAAAGCCGCTATCCTGATATTTCTGGTTTCTGGCACTTGACAATAGTCTGGCATAAATTCCTGGGTTATTATTTTAAATTTGTTGTTTTATTCACGCAGTTGGCATTGATATCTACCAAAAACTTATATTTATGAAGGACAATTTAAGTGTGAATAACAAACGGGGAAAGAAACCACCCTCTTTTCCCCCACCTGAGGAAGTATGTATCATCGAAGATGATGCTATACGTCAGTCTCCAACCAAAGAGCTTCTGAACTCGACCAAATCCAAGAGGGTAAATGATTCCATGTGAGTGTTTCTTCACTGATATTTGCATTTCATTTCTGATTATTAAAATTGCTTTTCAGGGGTCTGACAATTTGGTTTGTTTTACTTGATTATTTGGGTTTTCTATACCAGGCCCAGTTTCAACCTCCTGGATGAAGAGTCTGAAGAAGGTAGAGCTTAATTGATAGAAATGATGATGCTAAGTATTTTACTTTCTTTTTTCAATCCTTTTCCCCTACTCGCCAACAAATTTTACCTAAAATCTTTGTAGACGAGGCTGCTGCCAATGTTCACGAAGATGAGATTGCTGCCAAGGCTGAAGACGGTGAATGCAAAATCATTACACAACAAACAGTATTTGACCACATACGTGAGAAAGCGAAGAACTTCCCTGTCTTGGCGGCATCAAATGTTGTGTGCTCTCCATCCTCAGAGCCCTTAGTTTTGACAAGAAAACGTGCTCGTGAGAAGCAGCTTGAACCCTATAATGAAGTTCAGGTTTTGGAAGAGTTGGAATGGAATAAAATTCCAAGATGGGCGGTGGTGAATCCATCTTCAGAATTTAAAGAGACGGAACAAAATCAACATAGCCTTATGGATGAGAGAGGTGACAAGACACAAACACACTCGCAATCACTTTTTTGGTTCTTATGTATGTTATGTGGAGTTTTTAATCATTATGCTTTTTGTTTTTCTCTACTGAAGCTGGGCTTCCTCTTGAACCTGGAGATGGCGCATTCAAAACTTCAAGAGAAGAAACAATATTTGAGCACATACAAACAAAAGCCAAGAATTTTCCGGTGATCAACAAATCGAAGGTGGTGGTGTCCGGGTCCTTAACCAAAACAAAAGAACAACCCTCTAAGAATCATCCTGTGTTGAGCATGGATCCTTCTGGCGTGCAAAAAGGAACAAACTCAAATGAAGTATTGAGAAACACTGCACTCATCTCAGATTTGGAAACCAAAGAGGTGGAAAAAGATGAATGCGGGATATCGAATGCTTCTCCTAGAGGTTTAGGCAACGCTGCTCATCTATCATCTCGTAAAATGCTATCGTTTGATATCTCCATGTTGAAGAATACCAGGCCATCAGCAGATCCAGGCAGCTCCATGGAGAGCAGAAGAAGGAAACAGCAGCCGTCTCCAATTGTACCACAAAGACAGTGCTGCACATTGACAACAGTTGCCAAAACCAGGGAAGTAGAAACATTTCTTGGATTTCAGAGTGTCTTTTCTTTTCTCTGATGTTTCTTCCGATACACAAAAATGAGACGATAGATATATCAGTATAGAGGAAACTTACTTTTTCAGATTATAACTTCATGCGGGTAGCAACGTATATGACCCACAAATTGAAACTTGGGATCAGTGGGATGGATATATACTTACTGGTTGGCTTCTCAATTACTGTCCAGAAAAGTGCTTTACGAGGTATGAATGATTAATTTTGAATGAAAAGTGAGGTTTAAGGACGTCATAAACCCAGCTGGTTTGCCGCTTTCCTATTTCTAGTTCATTTAAGAAAGAAACGTAGCAGCTTGCCGTGGAATGATTTTCTAGATGTTTTGTTTGTTAATATACTCCAACACAAATAGTACTTGTTCATGAATCATTGGTTTCCCTCTCGCAGTCACTGGTCATAAATATATTCCTTTTTGTTATAGTATTCTTCAATCTTTAATTTTTCGAAAAAAAATTATAGTATACTGACTCTAGTACATGTATTTACTATTTGCCGAGTAGCGTATTTGGAAACTGATCCAAGATTGTCGAAAACTTTTATCTTGGCTGGTCAATTGTTTGAATTTTGGGGGTTTTTTTTAG